AATATTGTTATCCAGATAAATTGTGGATAAATAGCTCACAGACGTATCCAAAAGGTGATAGAGATGTATCTGAAAAAATTGCAATTCTTATAATTGTATTTTTTTTTTAGAAATCATAATAAAATAAAATATGTATTTTGGTAATTTTTCCCTATAATTAGTTATGAAGGACCCATTTACCTTTATAATTAGTTATAGATGCATTTCAATTTCCAGGTAGCAGTCATGTCACAATCTTTGAACACAAGGATATTTTCAGTTGATAGTGATAGCATTTTTTTTTATTATACAAGTTGAAGCATTTACTACTTATATAAAAAATAATAATTAAAATCCCAAACAAAGTGATCTTTGATACATATGATATGTAAGAGATAATATATACTCCCTTCATTAATTTTAATTTTTTTCTTTAATTTTTTTTGTACAGAATTCAAAAAAGTCAAGAATTAATATTTTTTAAATTTTGTAATCATAAATTAAAGATATGTTAAATATATCAAAATGTCTTTTTATTTTATGATTTTAAACATGCCACAATGTGTTTATCCGAACTCAATAACTTTAATTCAGATTCTATATATATTCACTAATTCAGAATAAATAATTGATATTAACTCACTAAATTAAATAAATTAAGGTAAAATCTTAGACTCATCAAATTCATAAAATTTAAATTCTGAAGTCGACTCTGTTTCCGAGCCTATACATATCATCAAACAGAAATAATAGTTGGCCTATATAGCTACAACAAAAAATGAAGGAGGGGGGCTATAAGAATATTAATTAATTAAATAAATAAATGAGAGAATAAAAAAAAATTGATATTTTGAGCTATTTTATATCTTGTCCATGTAACAGTTGCATGAATAACAAAGGAGACGTGAAAAAGGGTTTACTGCATATTTCATGCATGCACGTATCCTTATTTTTGGGATTCCATGTTTTAGGTTTGCCTTTTCTCGCTCCGTTCATTTTTATTTATCCATTCTGAATTTTGTACCTCTCAGTGTATTTTATTATAATATTTGTATTAATTATTGTATTAGTCCTAGTCTTCGAAAATAATTTGAGAAATAAATAATTAATGTTGAGGATAAAACAGAAGAAAATTAATTATCTTTAATTTAATTTTTTGATATAGAAGCGATAAATATGTGTGAAAATTTATTTTTGAAATAGTGGATAAATAAAAATGAACAGACTAGCGAAATATATATTAAAGTATGAAAAAATTAGATAAACATATGATGTGAATTTGTATGGCAACTTGACTATTTGGAAGCCACTAGCTAGGCACATAGAGTTAGAAGAATTGGCATATAAGAGAGATCTTAAAGTCCACTTTTGTTTGGGTTCTAAGTTTTCAACAAGTTGTAGTCAATTCATTAAAATATTTTGTGTGGATAATATGATCAGTATTTCCAAATTCAAAGATTCATGTGACATGACTTTTACCTAGAAGCTAAAAAAGCATATTAAATGTGAATTTTGTTTAAAATATTCCTAAAATATAATTAAGTAAATAAAAACATTCTCCATTTAAGATGATCATACACTTTAATATGGTACTAAAGAAAATAAAAGTCTTGAGTTCGAGCCTAATCGCCACCCTATTTTTTTATATATATATATATATAAAGAAAATAATTTTAGTGTGTTTGACCCATAATGAATCGGGCCAGTATCCTAAAAAGTGTGTTACAATCTATATAATTAAGTAAATAAAAATATGATCTTTTTAACAATATATTGTTAAAATCAATTTGGTCCTTCCTAGATAAATTTTGTACATGTAGAAGTTATATAAGTCGAGAAAAGTTTTTTCAAGTGTTTGATCATGAAAAAGAATTAGGTATGGAATCTGTTGAAAATATAATCAAATAAAAGATAAGAAAGCGTGTTAAAAATATAATCAAGTAAATATAAATGTACTTCCTTTAACAAAATGAGATTGCCACACTTAAAGCAAATTGTTCCTTCCTAGCTAAATTTTTTACAAGAAGTTATATATGTCAATTAAACCATGTGTATTTTTGCTTAAATTCAACTATAGACCAAAACAATACATGAATATTCACAAGGAATAAGTTCCTATTTCCATAAACAATATTCAACCTACATAAATTAATCCATTCAAACTTGTAATCCCTAGTATATATCCACCTAATTTTTTTCCCGAATCCATATGATTAATTAGTTCCTAATAATATTCAATCCTAATTAATTTCACACATGTGATGTTAGTGTTTTGCTTATAACTACAAATTAAAAGCATTGCCAAAAATGGTATAAGAGTTTTAATATATCAAATGGAAGCAACAATTTTATGAATCAAAATATCAGTCTTATTTTATTTCCCTCTTAAAAAGTTTGTTGGAAAACTTTTTATTTTAAATGGAAATAGGAAAGTTGCAAAGGGGAATGGGCATTATTTTTCTATCATTTTAATGTTTGTATATAACAGAACACAACAATGCATTGCTAACATTCTACTATATTATAAAAGAGAGTTTAGGCCCAAATATAATATATAATATTCAAGATTGGGACATTTCCCAATCTTGAATATTATATATTATA